TTTATCTGGTCTCTGGTCTCTGGTTTCTGGTATTTATCTGGTCTCTGGTCTCTCTCTGGTCTCTCTGGCCTTTATCTTGTCTCTGGTGTGTGGTCCCTGGTATTTATCTGGTCTTTGGTCTCTGGACCCTGGTCTGGCCCCGGGTCTCACCAGGTTGCGGACGTCTGGCAGTGTGATCCAGAGGGGGAATATGATGGGCAGCAGCAGCAGGTATGTGATTCTCTTTCGGGGCGTCTGGGGCCACAGCAGGGACAGCGGCTCGTTCTCCTCCTCCTCCTCCTCCTCCTCCTCCTTCTCTTCTCGCCCTTCATCCTTATCTTCCCCCCCACCGCCCTCCTCTTCCTCCTCCTCCTCCTCTTCATCCTGGCCGGACTCGCTGCTCTCCCCCTCGCCGCTCTCGTCCCCGCCGCTGACCTCTGACCCCTCAGCTGAGGCCGCCGCCTGCAGGGGGAGGAGCCAAAAATATCAAACTAGACGCATTATCAGTTTGTTTTTTCATTCTTAGGCCTGAAAAGGCTCCAAAGTGGAATAAAAACAGAGTTCCAGAGTCGGGGAGCAGAGGGACTGAAGGCTCTCTCCCCATGGTGCTGAGGTTAAGGGTAGGGTTAGGGTCAGGGTTAAGGTTAGGGTCAGGGTTAAGGTTAGGGTCAGGGTTAAGGTTAGGGGTCAGGGTTAGGGTTAAGGTTAGGGTCAGGGTTAAGGTTAGGGTTAAGGCTCAGGGTTAAGGTTAGGGTCAGGGTTAAGGTTAGGGCTCAGGGTTAGGGTTAAGGGTCAGGGTTAAGGTTAGGGCTCAGGGTTAGGGTTAAGGGCCAGGGTTAAGGTTAGGGGTCAGGGTTAGGGTTAAGGTTAGGGTTAGGGTCAGGGTTAAGGTTAGGGGTCAGGTTTAAGGTTAGGGTCAGGGTTAAGGTTAGGGGTCAGGGTTAAGGTTAGGGTCAGGGTTAAGGTTAGGGGTCAGGGTTAGGGTTAAGGTTAGGGTCAGGGTTAAGGTTAGGGTCAGGGTTAAGGTTAGGGTTAAGGTTAGGGGTCAGGTTTAAGGTTAGGGTCAGGGTTAAGGTTATGGGTCAGGGTTAAGGTTAGGGTCAGGGTTAAGGTTAGGGGTCAGGGTTAGGGTTAAGGTTAGGGTCAGGGTTAGGGTTAAGGTTAGGGGTCAGGGTTAAGGTTAGGTGTCAGGGTTAAGGTTAGGCTCAGGGTTAAGGTTAGGGTTAGGTGTCCTCCCACCCTCCCCCCGGACAAACCAGCTCCTCAAACCAGCCTGGTGGGAAACGACCGGCTGACCCACAAACCCAGAGGAGGTGGTGGTCATAATGTTATGGCTGGCTAAATTTATGCCCGTCATAAAGGTATGACGGGCAGAAAGCACGCTAAATCAGATCTGACTAAGTTCTAACGTTAACAGATCAGAACAGTCACAACATTTATTCAAATACAAAAAAAAGTACAGAAAACATCAAAGTTTGTTTGTCGAGCAATTCAGGAATTTTGGTTCAATTACTAAGTTATGATTAGAATTATATATATGTAATTTTAAATTCATATATATTAATATATATATGTGTGTGTGTGTGTACATAAATGTATTTGTCCATTTATTTAGTTTATCTTTTTTCTTTTCAGTTACTTGTATTTACTAGTTATTTATTTTATTTTTTTCAGAGTTGAACAATTTCTACAGGATTTATAAGCTAATTTATTTGGTGTTTTGGGGCTTTTTAGTTGAATCCTTTGCTCCTGGCGGGATCAGAAACTCATCATTCATAATTTTTACTGCATTGTTCTTTGCACTTTATCAAACAAACTGTGCAACATTCAGTAAAGTGTGAGACTTTTTAACCCACAAACAGGTCCATCTTCATATGCATGTGTGTATATTATGCACATTAGAAATGCTAAAAACTACATTTGTTAACTTTTGCTTTTTTCGTAGAAACAGAATTTGCTGCTTTGCATCACATAAACACGTAAAAGTCAAACGAAGGATAACCCAAGAGAAAGACACATCCATCCATCCATTTTCCGTACCGCTTATTCCTTGTAGGATTGCAGGCAAAGACACAAAAACTGGAAAACTAGGACCACAGAAAGGGAAGGGCAGCCATGTCATTTCCACCTCTGCTGGTCTGACTGGAGCCTTTGCCCTCCCGGCCTCTGGGGGGCGCTGCCGGGGCTTTGAGAGAACCCTCTTATGTACACACAGCTGTCTATTTAGTCCTATAATGTCTCAAAAAGACACAAAGCGACCCCATCGCCATGTTTAACCCATTTTAAAACCGGCAGAAGGCTGTTTTTTCCAGCCTTTTTTCTTCATTTGTCTGATAGCGTCTAAATGAAGCCTAAAGAGGACCGTTTGTGGGGATGGGAGGAGGGGGTCATTCCAGGTGGGAACATTACAGTGGCTTTATGTGTTTTCTGTTTGAGGGAAACAGCTGCTCGGAGCCCGACTGGAGCGGGGCTCCGGCAGCTTATTTCCCAGGAGCTGGAACCAGGAAAGAAGCCATGCCTGAAACAGTGGAGCTCTTTATTGGGGGACGTTCACTCCGACGGGGAGGGGAGAGGAAGAAGCCCCCGCCTTCTGGCGGCTTTAGAGAGAAGCGCTTCACCTTTGACTCCTCGGCCTTTCCGGCCGCCTCCTCGTGGTCAGCGGCCTGTGAGGTGGACGGCTCATCGGCGGCGGCCTCCGGAGGGCCGGCGATGGCGGCGGCGGCTGGCGGCTCAGACTTTGGCTTCTGATCCTCATCTGCAGAAAAGACCAAAACATGAGAGTCATCTTACACTCCACCAGTAATAGTGAGAATGCCCACAGGCATTACTATTGTTTTCCTGTTTCTCTTTATTAATTCCATATTCCGTACTTTTTTCTGCGTCTAACTACTCCTACATCTTTCAGCCCATTTAAAAAAATAAGGTATCAAAATGTTCAGCTATCTCAGGACTATGCAGATGTGAATTTTGGTGTTCAGATCTTTTCAACTTTTTAAGATATTTAACTTTTTATGCCTGATTCCTCTCATTGAAATGAATGGAGCAAAAAGTATGGCTCCCTCTGCTGGTCACTGGCATTTCAGCCCCTTCAGTGGTAGAGCTCAGTGGTAGAGCTCAGTGGTAGAGCCTTTGACTGCAGATCCAGAAGTTGCTGGTTCAAATCCCACTCAAATCTTCTTGTATCTTATCTGTAATTTTATGGCCTTTTACTCTTTACTCTTCTTCTAATCCTTTCAACTTTCTTCTTCCACTCTTTAGTTTTCAGCTCTTTAAAATTATTCCTCCCTTCAGCCTTTTTTCTTCCTTCTTCAACTTTTTCTGCTTCCTCCATTTTTCTTCCACTCTTCAGTTCTACGTCTTTTCCAGCTTTTCTTTGGCTTCTTCTCCTTCTTCCTCCATTCACCACTTGGCATTCTCACAACTGTTCCACAGGAAAAGCCCTTTTCTAGTTAAATCCACCATTTCTGTGTAAAATGGGGTCATTTTGGTGGCTTTTCTGTACCAGCAGCAAATCCAGTGAATTCTGTTTAGAAATTGAATTAAGTAATCAGACGTTTCTTTTGTGTCTCCGTGCTCATCGTGACGAATACAGCTTCTCCTTCCAGAAACTTCTGGTAAAAAGATGCTGCATTTGAGGGCTGTCTTTGCTCCTTTTACAGCCTTAGAGGCTGGAACCCGGCGTGTTCTTAACCTTGTGAAACGAGCCGATGTGTGGGCGGAGTGAAGAGCGAGTGGGAGTGATTGGAGTGTTTGGAATGGGGGGGGCAAAGACACACAAGGCCTCCAATCTGCATGTTAATGCTCTGCTCTGATTGATTCGGGCTCCTTCAGGCCTCTCCAGGATCACTGCAGCCCCTCTTTGCCGCGCAGCCCGGAGCCTGAAGCGCCTCATTAGTCTGTAATGGGATGCGACACAAGCGCCCGGAGGCCAGAGACTCTCCCACAGAGCCGCAAATCCACAGTGAAACATCACCCACGGTGACCGTCTCCTCATCCTGACTATCTCTGCTCATCAAAACGCATCACTGAGAATTTACAGGCTCCGTTTGTGCAGATTTCATGATCAGGAATAAATCCTTAAGCTCAAGCTTCAGGTTTAAAAAATAAAAATCTTGGTATTTTCATTTAAAAAATCCAAGACGACTTAACTTGTGACCAGGGAAGAACAACAGAGGATGAGAGGATATTTAACCAGGGAGAAAATAAGCAGGTGCCATAAGAAACGTCTTTCCAGTCTCCGACTGAAGGTGTGATGACACAATCAGTCGGTTTTCAGCTGGACAGAGAGTTAGCTCCTTCAGGTGTAATAAACAAGCTGAAGAACACCAGATCTCTGTCCAGAGCTCTTTGCTTTGGACTCTCCAGAGAGAGCCCAGCTGCTTTGAACCAATAAAGATGCTGTTTTTAGTTTCTTTGGAGCAGGTGAACCTCTGACTCACCTTGGGCGTGGGGGGGGGGCGGCTCGTCCGCCGGCTTTTCCGTCGCCGGGACGCTCAGAGGCTTTATTTTGTTCTTTGCTGCAATCAGGAGAACTTGGACTTATTTGGAGTTTCGCCAAAGCTGCAGCACGAACTGAGACACAGACACTGAACCAAAGCGTCCACAGGCCCCACAAGCTCAGCTTTAGACACCCCCCAATATTTGGCCCTTTTAAATGGCCGCCGTGACCAAAAAACGGATGAAGCTTCGAGACAAACAACAACAACAACAACAAAAGCCAGCGTGTCACCAAAGAACAGACAGAAAAATACCCAACAAACACGGCCACATGCAGACTGGAGGAGGCGCTCACCTTTCCTCTGAACAAGCCCCTCCCCTCTGACGTCGCCGTTAAAGGACGTCTCTGATTGGTGGAGATGCACGACAGAAAGGATTTGGCTGTGAATTTAACTTGTCTTTGCATTAAAAGTGAATAAACAGCTTCCTGGTGGAGCTCAGACGGGGAACTGTTTCTTTAGTGGTACTTTTCAGGCTTAAATACGTCAGCGGAAGGGAGCCAAAACATTACATCCACCCCTGAGCTGATTTTCCAGGGTTTTTATTAGGGACCAGACTTGTTCCAGCCTGGTTGATCTCTCCTCTAATCTCAGTTAACCCAGAATCTGAGTTTTGTCTCCCTAAAGGCAGCGGGCTACTCATCCAGAGGTAGTCATAATGTTTTGGCTCTAAGTGAATCATGGGATTCAAACCCCCGTCAGCGGATAGACACGAGCACGGGGACACACACCACGGCCGGGGGCTCTTACCTCCTCTGACTTTCTTCACTCGGGGGGGTTTAACGGCCCCTCTAAGGGCTGCTTCTAGGATGAAACCACAGATAGGATTTTAACTCTGCTCGGCTCAGAGGGACGTTTGGACAAAGAAACCTGGTTATAGAAATAAACTTTTCAACTGGCAGAAACTTTGGGTACTGCCAAGCCCGGCTGGGACAGCATCGTCTTGTTGGTTCAAAAGTTTGATCCCCCCACCTTTCAGATGGGTTTCTGCTCTTCTGTTCATGGCCTTAAAACAGGACAGCCCAGGTTTCCCCCTCCCCGGGATACAATCCCTTTCCATCTGCAAGGACCTCTACTCTACTGGACTCTGCTGGTCTCCTCTGGACTCTGCTGGTCTCCTATAAACTCTACTGGACTCTGCTGGTCTCCTCTGGACTCTACTAGACTCCTCTAGTCTACTCGACTCATCTAGACTCCTCTGGACTCTACTGAACTCCTCTGGACTCTGCCGGACTCTACTGGACTATGATGAACTCCTCAAGACTATGCTGGACTCTACTGGACTCTTTTGAACTCCTCTAGACTCTACTGGACTCCTCCTCTAGACTCTGCTGGACTTTGCCATACTGTACTGGACTCTTTTGATCTCCTCTGGACTCTACCGGACTCTACTGGACTCTTATGAACTCCTCTAGACTCTACTGGACTCCTTTGCACTCTGCTGGACTCCTCTAGACTCTACTGGACTCCTCTGAACTCCTCTAGACTCTACTGGACTCTGCCGGACTCTCCTGGACTCTCCTGCCCCACCAGTCCCCGCAGAGACGAGGCCCTGCCGCAGGCCGGCTCTGATCCAGCTTTTATTAGCTTGTATTGAAAGCTGATTAGGGATCAGTGGTGGTCAAGCGCTGTTTGGGAGGAGCCGCGGCGCCCAGCGGTGACCTTCAGCCTGACCTCCACCGCTCGGCGTACAGGACAGGACGCACGGCGCTGAGTCACCGCCGGCTTTGCTGCAGCGGCCGCGTTTAATCAGTGCCCTCCAGTGGGAGGAGAGCCTCGTTTAACCCCAAACTAATCCCCTTTTGGCCTTTTGACATTTCAGGAGCTCCGGTTTTTAAAAAACAAAACCTGATGTTTCTGTCGGCAAATTTACGGATTTATGGCTTTAAAAATAAATCTGAATCAGAAATACTTTAATATTCCCAGAGGGAAATCATTTGTTTTTTTAATTTAATTTAATTTATCCAATTAATTTAATTTAATTACATTTATTTAATTTTAGTTTTTTATTTAATTTATTTTATCTTATTATTAATTTAATTTAATTTATTATTTATTCATTTTATTAATTTATTAACTAGTCTAACAGAAGATAACTATGTAAATGACACCATGAAGATTTTGCAATGAACGTCTTTTAGTCACTTCAGTGTTTTTTTGTTTTTTTTTAAGTTTTCCGAATAATCATCTGTAATAAATGTGACAAACGACATGGAACAGCTATATTAAGCAGAGTGACTGAAGAGAGAAGCAGTGAAGAGTGAGAGCTATGAGACAGCTGTAGGACAGGTCAGGAATACCTTCTCCCAGAGGGTCCAGGGTGTGGATCATGAGCTGGAAAATGGTGTTCCTCAGAGAGGTGTTGTGGAGGGACGCGGAGCTGCCGCCTCTCTGCAGGACGGGACGCGCCTGCAGACGGACAGAAACAGCCAAACATCAAACTGCTGCCCTCAGCCCCTCAATGCCCCCTCAAACGCCCCTCAATCCCCACTCAAACGCAGGCCCCATGGGCCCAAACCCATGAGGGAAAGCACGCTTTCCACAAATCAAGACCCCAGTCCTCTATTTTTTCTGTGTTAATAATGTTGAAAATGTCCTAAAAATGGATTCCTAAGAGGGTATTTCCAGGATGAATGTTGTCAAACTCGCAGTCTGTAGGAGCCTCGATTGGATATCCAACTCCTCCCACATCCAAGTCGGCCATTTTGATTAGGTCATGTGACTAGCAGCTTTCTCAGGGAGAAACAAAACTTTACTGTCTATACGAAATCGGAAGACAAACAATGTCCTAACCCTAAACTTATCCCTGACCCTAAACCCTAACCCTGACCCTCCATCCTACATAATTGTGAGAAATAAAAATTCTTTGGTTAAACTTGTTTGGACTTATTGTACAAACCTATTTAACATCCACTATTTTAACATAATATTATGGATAGAGTTTAATTCAAAACTAATTTAACTATTTTTAAATTAATGTCTATATTGCCATGAAGCAATTAGGATTTTCTTGCCTGGGATCTTCCTATTGGTGACCTAATCAAAATGGCCGACTTGGATGTGGGCGGGGTTGGATATCCATCCTCGGCTTCCTGCAGTCCAAAGCGGAGCTTCCTGGCTCAAAAGCACATTCTGGGTCTGCCCCCTGGTCCTGGTCCTGGTCTTGGTCCTGGTTCCCCCCCTCTCCCTCTCATTCATGCTCCCCATTGGTCCAACAACCCTGAGCGGCCCCCCCCCCCAAGAGATCATGGCTGTGGATTATGGACCTTATTTGTCCTCTAAAATGTACTGGCTTTACTTTCTTGTTTCTGGATGGAACATTTTTCTCTCATCTCTGTTAATTGCTGCTGTTTCTACCCTGTTAAGTCGTCATGGGAATGTTTTTGTGTTAGCTTCTCGTGTTACCGTGGATACCTGCATGCCTGTGTGATGGTGGGTGCGTTTAGAGATGTGGTTTTCAGTAACGGATGACTGAGTGGAGGCTTTGGAAGTGGGGCTCCTTACCCTGAGTCTGGCCTTCTCCTCCTCCTGGGGCGGGTTGCCGCGCTGGGGGGTGCTCGGGGGCGCCGCCGCCGCCGCCGTTTCGGGTTTGGACTTGTCCTCAGCCTTGGACGTAGCGGCGGGAGGGGCCGCGGCCTCGCTCTCCTGCAGGGTCAGAGTCAGCCATTCACACATTCATGCGCGAGCAGCTTCCAGCTCGTGTTCCCCGCTCCGTCCCGATGCCTCCGGACGGTTCGGGGTCGGTGGGACAAAACACTACAGCAGTTCAGAGGTCTAGGTCAGACTAGAGGCCCTAAGTGAGCTTCTATCAGCAAAATAAGCATGTCACAAACCTTCAGCCTGGTCTTCCTGCGGCGGCGCGTCAAAATGCGGCTTTTAAACCTTCATTTCTGCGGACAGCTTAACTCTGGGCCTCTCGGTGCTAAATTAAGTCATTTTTCTGTCATTTATTTAGCCAGAGAGTTCCCGCCTGGGTCCGAGACCTCACTGGGTCTCACTGAGAGAAACGTTTGACAAAGTGGCCACAGAGCAAAGCTGCTTCGACTTAGAGGGGTTCCCCCCCCACGGCTTTAGGGAGGTCGGCTTCTTTTAGATTCAAACGACTGAAATGATTCGGTACGGGAGCTTCAGACACTTTCACAGATCAGACTAGAGCGGGTTTAATCTTCTCTCTGGTGGAATCAGCAGTGGCACCTTTTGTCTTTGCGGCTGTGGAAATATAAATGGTTTCAAAGGCAAAATCTGATGTCATCTTTTCACCCCAATGAACCGTCTTCTGATTGGCTCATGTCGGGAGTCTGGCTTTAACTCTCTCAGCACATCGACCCCAGATGAATTTGGGCCGAACAGAAACAGGAGGCTTCAATGGTCCTTTGCCAAATCACCTCCAACCCTTGATTTGTAACTGGATGCTTTAATGTGACCACAACTAGTTTCATATCAGTCCACATCCACATCGATTACACGTACATGACTACATTTGCTTTAGAAATGTAGTTATGAAGGACACAAAGTGTTTCAGACATTGTTTTCTACATTTTTAGGGGGTGCCTCATGATTATTCTCTTGTATGTCTGCAAATAGCTTCAGCAGGAGCTCTTTATATTACCGGCTCTTATCCCTGTGGCTGTCTGGCGGCGTCCACCTTCATGGCTGACTAAGGAACGTTCATTTTTGCCTGCTCCTGGGATTTAAAAATAAAATCACATCAACTTTGACCATAAGCAGCAACCAGATGATGAGTGATCTCAGGCTATCGCAGGTAAAAAAAGGGGCCGCCAGACGTCAGCTTAGGGTTAAAGGTCCCCCTCTGTCACTTTATGATGTTCCACCTTTTAAAGACTCCTGATAAACCTAAAACATTCACACCCACAAGCCAGGCATTTAGAGATGAGGAACGGATCATCTGGAGTTAAAAAACCGTTGCCCTGTGGACTGCTGAGTCATGTTAACCACAGCCACTCATCAAACCCTGATGGACCAACGGTTTGGGAGGAGAGCCAGAAAAAAAAACAGGGCTAAAGGGGTTTAAAAGATTAAACTTTGCTGAGCAGACCACCCGGAAGCCCGACGGCGCTCCGTCTCTGAGCGCCGTGTTATCCCAGAGTCTGATGACGGAGTCTGGAGGTGGAAACCCTGAGGAGAAGCAACAGGACCCGACCAGGGTGTGCCCCGCCTCTCTCCCGGTAAGCCCCCCCCAACCCCACTGAGAGTAAGCGGTGTAGAAAATGGATGGATGGATGGATGGATGGATGGATGGATGGATGGATGGATG